TGTCAGTCGCGCCGCGCGGGGGTCCCTCCCTCCCGCGGTCCGGCCGAGGGCAGAGGCAACAGGCCCGGGAGTGGACGGGACGGGACGGGAACGGTTCGGAAGCCCCGGAAAACCAGTGACAGGAGTCAGACGCGGGCCGCCCGAGGCTGCAGGTGTTTCCCCTTCCCGGTCCCCCGGCTTGTGCGTGTGTGTGTGCGCGCGACCGCTCGGCTGCGCTGCCCGAGGGGCCCCGAGTGGACTATTGCTCTGCGCCCAGCAGACGCTCCTGGGGGGACAGCCCTAGCTCGGGGTCTGAAGTTTGAGGATCTAAGTTTCCACCAGATTTCGCCTCTACATGACCTCGGACTGATGGCTTTACTTGCTCAAACCTGATTTCCTCGTTTTTCCCGATGGAAACTATCACTGGTACAGCGCGCAGTGGTCAATGGATATTCCCTAGGGATCGTTTCTTTTGTATGATGGTACTCAGTTCAAAACCCTTGTAGTTCCTTCAGCTACAGTTTGGCTTCACAGTCGTACCACACACAGTTGCTGGCCGTGTAAACTCGGGGACATCGAACGACCAAATGGTACTTACTGCAAATAGTATTTGGATTTGAAGATTGGATCTGGCTTAGTAATTGGAACCCAATTGACAGGTCTCAATTCAGATTTTTTTGTGCTTGTTTTGGTTCTTGGACTTGATTAACTTCGAGTTTGAAGTCATTTACATATTTGATGACTTTCCTGGTGTTTAATAATTTTAATGAAGTCATTGAACTCCAGCCGTTTGCAACTGTTTTCATCTTCATCTTGTCATTTAGAAGCAGAGGCTGATTATAAATGGTGCTGTGGTAACCCTTACTTATTTCATGGTCCTGAGTACTACAGGTTAACAGTTGAGATGGAAGATCAGGACAGGCAGGGAAGGTTTTAAAAGAAGTGCTTTATACTGTTAGCCAGGTTTATACAAACTATCATTTTCTCAGCAAATGTGTTTTTTTGTTCCGCTTCCTTCTTTTCTTGCCCCTTTTCCGTTGATTCATGTGTGTCTAACTTAAAGCTTCCTCTTGGGATGCACGTTCTTTGCTTCTGTCGTGGAAGGTACATGGCAAAGCAGATTGCTTCTCCTTGCTGCCCCGAACGCTGCCTTGTCCATTTGTAGCATTTCAGGGCCTTTTCTGTTGTTTGATGTTATTGTCTTGAATGCCACACTCTAGAAAGACTTGAATCACTTCCTTCCTGTTTTGAAGGGTGAATGAGCCGCTAGGAGTTTGTGCTCCCTTTGTGCACAGCTCAGATGAAGGGTTACCTGAAGGGTTAGGGCTCCTTTGAAATCTTAATGCCAAGGCCGGCTCAGAAGATGCTCAAATACTTAACTCTGGACAAAATTTGCTTAAAATGGGTTGGGGGCACAGATACTTTAGAAGTCCGTTTGTGGTATTCGTGAGCCTTATTAAAAACCCTGCCTTCCAGATAAACTGGAAGGGCTTCACCCAACCTCATAGAAACTTAACTTTAGGTTTGTTGTTGTTGTCAGTATTCTTTCCTTGGGATTCTGATCCATGGTGTTTAAGTGATTATTTGAGACCATTGCTTAATGCCTGTTAAGCCATTGCTCTCCTTTTCCTGGCTGATTTGCCCAGGAGTACTGTGAGCCTCTGATAATGAAAAGCAAAGCCATACGTCTCGTCTTAATACTACCAGATCAATGCAGAACGCAACGTTGAGGTGTGTCTGTGCAGAGCCTTCATGCTTTCCACTGTTCCTTAGAATGGAATAGTAGCACCTATGGTTAAGCCTGCTGGATTCTCTTCTGTTTTACTTTAGAGAAGACACTTCACTATGATTATGTCTTGTTTACCTTTGTGGCGCCGGGGCCAAAGCCAGGACCTCCCAATTCCTAGGAGTGTCACATGCTCAGTCCTGATTTCTTGTTTGTTTTTAATGAATCTAGTTCATTTAAAATGCATCATTCCTGTGCCTCCATGATAGACACTTTATTTATTCTTATTTTTTACGTTGTCTCTCCCCTCTCCCACTGTGAGGACGCTCAGAGAAGTAATTTACCTCACATTATTGCACAAGAAGTGGCGGCAGAGTTGGGATTCAAACCATGGACTCCGTAACCAACCCTCTAACCACTGTGTTCTCTGGCTCCCAGGATTTGTCTTTGAAATCCCATAACTTTTCATTATATGGTTTGAAAGGGATAGAATAAACTGTTAAAAGTGGTAAACATGACATACATGCATTTCGGAGATTTTTGTGGATGTTGAAGAATTTTAAAATGTAACCCTTAGGCCGGGCAGCTGGGGTAGCACCTATTGTCACCCCACTGTGAGTCTGATGGGATGAGAAAGGCCTATCTTAATTTGGGGTTTCCAAGGCCCAGATCCATCCTGCTCACCTAGTGTAAATTATTCCACTTCTGAAAGGTTGTCTGATGAAGTTCTGTGGATTCCAAAGGAAAAAGTATTGTACTCAACGAGAAATCCTGTTCGTTTTGGCTTACCTCTTTATATCTGTGAGGCGCCTTCCTTCAAGTCAGCTGCAAGACTGGATTCAGCAGGTTGTCTAAAGCAACTGGTATTGGCATAGAGTATTGCCTTAGCAGAGCGGGTACCCCTCCTGCTCTCGGAAGAACTGAGTGCTTCTGCAGGTCTCTTCTGACTTTCTGTTAGCATCTGGGACCTGACTTCCTGCACTGGGCAACAGTCACCTCATTGTTTACCTTCGATACTGTTACACGGATAATACACCGTCAAGATCATGTAGTCTTATTTACAAAGATGGACTCAAAATGATTCATCGAGCTGAAGGTGGAACTCAGTGATAGAGTGCTAGCCCAGCATGGACGAGGCCCCAAGTTCAGCCCTTCAAGGAAACAGAGGGGAATGATCTACCCCACTCCTTCATTCTGCTTCTTTAACTAGCATTCCACAGAGCACATGTGGTAAACCCATGTTCAGGCTACAGACTGGCCCACACAGGAAGGCAGATGGATGTGTAAGGCTGTCTTAGTTCAGTAAACCTGATCTGTCAAGGTGGGTAGGATCCTCAGTTGGTCCCTCCGCTTCAGATGTTGAGGAGCATGTAAAACAACAAAAACATACTCTGGTTTTTTTTCCTTAAAAACCAAACATCAGTCATCTTTTGCTATCCTGTATACAACCAATTAGTGTCCTTGCCACTGAGGTGTTGTTCTTTTTCCAGATCCTTCCTGGGCATCAGTAAATAGGGGAACTTTTATATGTGATGAGTGTTGCAGTGTTCATCGGAGTCTAGGGCGCCATATCTCCCAAGTAAGGCATCTTAAACACACACCATGGCCTCCAACACTGCTTCAGGTAAATGATAAGAAAAATTTTCATAATTGGAAATTTGTGTTTTAGGGATTGTTGTTTTAGCAACTAAAAGATCTAATATATATCTTAAATCCTATAAGAATATTTGGGTCATAATTGGATAAAATGTTGTGCTCTTCATTTCTATGTATAGTATACGATATTGTCCTGTATTGACATCATTATCTAGTCTTTCCTTGCTCACCTTACATAATCTTGCTTCCCCAGACACAGTTATTCATAGGCAGATATATCAACAAAATGTATCAATAAATGTCTAAATTTCTTATTAAGTTTGCACCACTTACTTTCTAGATTGTCACCAGAAATTGTTTTGTTTTGTTTGAGACAAGAATCTCACTATGTAGCCCTGGCTGGTCTTGAACTCATGGATCTCCTCTTGCCTCTGCTTCCTAAGATGCTTAAATTAAAGGTATGCACCACCATGCCTAACATCAGAAATTATTTTATTGTTTAATTTTTATTTAATTATTTATTTTATTGATTGATTTATTTGGTTTTTCAGGACAGGGTTTCTCTGTATAACCTTTGGAGCCTGTCCTGGAACTTGCTCTGTAGACCAGGCTGGCCTCAGACTCACAGAGATCCGCCTGTCTCTATCTCCAGTGCTGGGATTAAAGGCGTGCACTGCCACCACCCAGCTTAGAAATTATTTTATAATTAATTATTTTTAATGCATTGCTGTTTTGCCTGCATGTATGTTTGTATGAGGGTGTCAGAATCCCCTAGAACTGGAGTTACAGACAGTTGTGAACTCATGTGAGTGCTGGAAATTGAACCTGGATACTTTGGAAGAGCAGCCAGTGCTCTTAACCACTGAGCCTTTTCTCCAGCCCCCAGAAATTATTTTTATTTTTTAACCTTTTTTTAGATTTACTTATTTTATAAGTATTTTTCTTGCATGTATGTATCTGCCCACAGAGGCCAGAAGAGGGCACAGGATATCCTGAAACTGGAGTTACAGATGGTTGTGAATATGTAGGTTCTGGGACTCAAACCTCGGTCTTCTGCAAGAACCACAAGTGCTTGTTTCAGAACACTGAGCCACCCCTCTAGGCCATAGCAGTTATCTTTAAAAGGTCTCTCTTTTCTGTAGGCTGTGATGAATGATCCTAAAAGCCACTGCTGAGAAGCTTTTCATTAACTTGCAATCCCTGAGTACCTGCTCACATTTTTAGACCATATTTTCCCTGCTTTGAGAGAAGCATAGACTCAGTTTCCTCAGAAATGGCTTCAGCATCTGAGGTATTTTTAAAGCCCTCACTGCCAGGCAGAAACTAAGTGAGCGTGTTTTGATTGCACGCCTAATACTTGTCAGGAGCAGTCTTTGTCTTATTTGAGATCCAATGTCATGTTCCTTGTACTTTTATTTGAGGTATACATTCTTCAGTTCTTCTGAAACTTAGGACATACATTGTAGGCAGAGCTTTCCGTTGGGACATTTGCACAATGTACAGAAGTAGACTTTCCCAGCAGTGCATTTTGCGATATTTGTCTTAATCCACATCTCACTAAATCTGCAACAGCTGCACACCGTGCTCCTTAAGCTTGTATGAACCAAAGCAAGTATTTTGGGTTGCTGGTAAGAGATGCCCATGTCTGTCTGCAGACAGACCTTCCTAGCAGTCCTGTTTGGTGATGAAGTTGAGATGTTCGTTAAGACATTCTACTTAAGCCAGGCAGTGGTGATGCATGTCTTTAATCCCAGCACTCAGGAGGTGAGTTTCAAGACAGCCAGGGCTATACAGAGAAACCCTGTCTCCAAAAATACAAAACAACCAAACAAAAAAGTTCTACTTAGAAATTCCCAAAGGGCTATTCTCACGTGAAAGTAGTGTGCTACTCCCAGGTCTGTTTTTCTTTACAGTTTTAGAGTTTACAAATGGTATAGAGGCGAGTAATTGGAGATACTAGGGCTGACACTAAGGCATCAGATTTTGAAGGGTGGGACATGACTCACAATGGAACATGAGAGAAAGAACATTCAAACATTTGTTTATTACGTTATTTTATTTAAGAGTGTATAAGAAAACTAACAATTATTAATAAAAATTTTAAATAGGTGCATTTAATGAAAAATATCAAGTGAATAGTGTGTATGTGGGTAAATATCATTTGTTCAGGCAGGCAAAGAGTCAGTCATTTCTTCAGTTTGTAATGTAAGTACGTACAGACTGTCCCACACGCAGAGTGGAATCCTACCTCCCTCAAGTTCCTCAGTCTCACTCCACAATCAGAAACAGGAATGAGTGCTACACAGACATGGTAGTGTTTTTAACAGAGCGTTGTTTTTCCATTTTTTCCACTGATTCTTTTTGAATATTTGAGGAAATAAAATAAATATCTCATATTGCTTGGTTTCAGATGGTTGAGACGTTGTATAACAATGGTGCTAATTCTATATGGGAGCATTCTTTGCTGGACCCCGCGTCTATTATGAGTGGAAGACGGAAAGCTAATCCACAGGATAAAGTACAGTGAGTGCAATGTTTCTAACTACTTCTATTTCTTCACAACAAATGTCCCTGTTGGAAGAATGTGGCTATTTTGATCAGCCTTGTGCCTGGGGCATTTGCTGTTAGAAAGACAGCACGGGGACTGTTGCTTGCCTGGTTACCCAACTGAACACAGAGATTCCTCCAGTTGGAGTCCAGGGCTTGGTGACTAGTTGTAATCAAAACTAGTGGCATTCAGACCAGAAATCTGGCTCTGCAGCAGTGTTCTGCCCAGTGCCTCACCTATTAACACAGGACTAACTGCTGCTTCCTCCTGAGGCTCCGCCTGTCGTGAAGGAAGTTAGAAAGGGAAGAAAGACGCTACAAAAGGTGGCGTTCTGTACCATGTTTTCAGATCAGGTCTTCAGCTCTGCTGAAATGTATTCTCAAGTGGGGGGTGTGGTCACTTCCTCTTCTCACAGTACAAAGAATGAGAAATGTGTCTGAACTGCAAGTGAACTGTTTTCTTTTTTGTTTTCAAACCAGCCCCAATAAAGCAGAATTCATCAGAGCCAAATATCAGATGTTAGCTTTTGTCCACCGATTGCCCTGCCGTGACGATGACAGTGTGACTGCCAAAGATCTTAGTAAGGTAGGTGCGCTCTTTGCAGTCCCCGGGGAGCCCTCTGAGACAGTGGCTGCTTCTCTTGTGGTGGTGCTAGGAGGGAGAGACCAATCTTGCACAGTTAAAAGTTCTGGTAGCTTTCTAAGCAGTCCTCTTTTTTCTCTTAAGCACAGTTAGTCCTCCTCCTAGACGTCCTAGAGAAAGGAAAGTAAATGTCTCAGAAGCAGCAGTTTTCCTTTTTGTAAGGTTTTAATTAATTAATTTGTGCTTTTTCAGTACAGTTTTCACATATATATTTGGTAAGTTCCCTACTTGGAAATAATAGCCATTTCAAAGGAGTGTTTCTAGAAGGGCCTAGGATATTTTCAGGATGCTTGTTTCTAAAAGATTAGAATGGCAGGGAGAGGAGGCTAACCTCTTCAGCTTCCCGGCTGCGGGGCAGGCGGAGCTTGAGAAGTGAGTAGAGCTGCTGCGTGCAGGGCTGTTGGCTGGCGACCGGGCGCTTTCTCTGGGCCTTGGTGGTTCTGAGATGCTATAGAAATACCCATCTTGAGTCTCAGAGTAGTGCTTTGAGCTAGATGCTCACTCAGTCAATTCACAATACTAATTTTAACACAGACATAGATATAATTTTCCGACTCATTAATAAGTTTTAAATAGTTTATCTCCTTTTTTACCAAATAAAAAATATAGCCAAGTCTGGTGGCATGTACCTTTACTTCCTGGCTTTTGGGAGGCAGAGGCAGGGAGATAGCTGGGAATTCAAGGCTGACCTGGTCTATATAGTGAGTTCCAGACCAGCCAGAACTACATAGTAAGAACTTGTGTGAAAGTGTGTGATGATGATGATGATGATGAAGACCCATATCAGATGACTCACAACCATCTGTAGCTCTAACTCCAGGGTATCTGACACCCTCTTTTGGCATCTGTGGGTACCTGCACTCAATGTGCACATACACACACGCACGCATGCACGCACACACGCACACATAAACATACATACGTACATACATGCATACGATTAAAGAATTTTAAAAAACTGACTACATTGGTTTCTCTGTTCCTTGGTGCCCATTACTACATTTGGAACAGTTCTAGATTAAACTTGAAAGAAGGCAGCTTGTTTTCTGCTTGTTTAAAGGCCTTTCTGTGATAATAAGGAATTAGCATAGCACAGTATCAGTATTTCCCACCAAGAACAGCCTCATGAGAGCACTATATGGATAGATGGGCAATGTACATTGATAGTGGATGGTGTAAGGCAGCTGGGATCAGCAGCTAATAGTTCCTAGTGTAGCCGTGTCTGAGTTTTGAAGCATTTCCTGTATCACTGAATCCTCACAATAACCCTGGATGGCACTGAGGTACCCAGGTCCTGCTGCCCAGAGTTCTCCTCAGATCACACAGCTGGAAGGCAGTAGGCCTTGAAATCCATTCCACTCAGTCGCAGGGCCTCCTTTTCAAATGCTTCCCACTTGGGTTATAGTTGGGCCCTACCTGGCAAGCCCTGCATCTGGGCAGACTGGGCTTCACAGTTCTAGTTCCTTGTGGGTAAAATGAGCGAGACTCGCCTGCAGCCCATTTTACAGCCTGCAGGGAGTGAACAGCGGAGACTCCCTGTTTTCCTGAGCCAAATAAAGACCTGTTACTAACAGAGAGTGCGTTCAGACAGGTCGCCAGCTGCTGCAGCACATCACTCCAACACCTTTACAGCTACTCTTTCTGTGTTTGTTTTTCAGCAACTCCATTCAAGTGTGAGGACAGGGAACCTGGAGACCTGTCTGAGACTGCTATCTCTAGGAGCCCAAGCCAACTTCTTTCATCCTGTACGGAAACGTCAATTGATTCAGATAATAGATTGAAACTGAGTTGTATTTGAATAGGTTAAGTTTACTTAGTTTTCTTTTTCTTTTTTTGTTTACTTTTGTTAATAATTCTCAGGAAAAAGGCAGCACTCCACTCCATGTCGCCTCCAAAGCAGGACAGATTTTACAGGCTGAATTATTGGCAGTATATGGAGCTGACCCAGGCACACAAGATTCTAGTGGAAAGACTCCTGTTGATTATGCAAGGTGAGGGGCTGAGGGTCTTAGATCACCTGTGTGCTGAGTATGATTCCTTGCTAAGTGACTGAATTGTATATGACTTGGGTGCAGAGCCCTTAGAGGTTTATGTTCTATTATTTTATGGAAGAAGACAGTTCAGCATCAGCTGAGACAGGCAAGACGAGGCAATCTAGAATCATAAACTGGTGTACTTAACTTCCAGTCTTTGTAACAAAGTAGTGTTCATAAGCCACAGCATACAAATCAGCTATCAAGAATGGAGAGGCGGGCTGGCTGGAGAGTTTACTCAGTGGTTGAGATCACCGGCTACTCTTACAGAGGACTAGGGCTCAGGGTTCAGTTTCCAGCACCGCATAGTCCCTCATCCATAACTCCAGTTCTATGGATTCCAACACCCTCTTCTGGCCTCCAGGGGTACCAGGCACACATGAAATGCACTTACATGCACATAAAAATAAATAAATCTTAATTTTAAAAATTAAATAAAAGAATTAGAGCGAAGACTGGAGAAATGGCTCACTGAGTGACATGCTTGCCTGTAAGCACGAGGAACGAAATAGGGCTAGAAACATAGCACAAGACTGGAGCGCTGGCATTGGGGTCAAATACAAAACCCACTCTTCAAGTTTTAATGTGTCTTTCAATTTCTCCTGCTGTGGTTTTGTTTTGTTTTGAGGCAGATACTCGCTATGTTGCCCAGGCAGATCTTGAACTTGTGAACTTAGACAAACTTCTTACTGTGTGCCCCTAGTAACTGGGACTACAGGCATGCCACCATGCCCTGCTACAACTGAAATGCAGTGGCATGAAGGAACTTCCTGGGGTTCATTGAATCTATTTAAACCTGCAGGTCTAGGTGATAGAAGATGGATGTCTTTCCTTCTTTTGCCAGATTTATTAACTATGAAATACCATGTTCACAAAGAAATAAACAGGGGGAATGACAAAAATCTGTCCCAGAACCCTAACTTTACATCTCTGGAAGAGATGATTAGTAAATGCTGAAGGAATTAGGCAAAATTACATATGAATTGTTGACAAAATGGACAATTAGCCGTGTTTTGTTTTGTTTTGTTTTTTGAGACAGGGTCTGACTCTTTAACCCAGGCTGGTCTTAAATTCACAGATATAAATATTCCTGCCTATGCTATGATTACAGGTATTAACTACCATTTACTGCTGACAGTTGGTCTTTAAAAGTGCACATGGCTTGACACTTGACAGGTAAAAGCCCTGTCACACAGCCCTGAAAATCTGAGCATAGTCCCCAAAACCCACATGAAAAGCCGGGTGTAGTGTTCACATGTCTGTAATCCCAGCAACCACAGCAAGATGGGGTTGCAGAGAGAGGAGTCATAAAGCTTGTAAGCCAGCTGTCTTGATGTGTGCAGCATGACAAAAGCCAGAGATGCCTCAATAAGACGGAAGACAAGAGCCACACACGTACCATGATATTGGTAATAAAATTTAAAAAGCATATGTAAGGGACTATAGAGAGGGCCGCCATTAAAGCTCCTGCTGTGCAAGCATGAAGGCCAGCATTCATATCCTCAGCGCTACCCAGATGCCTCATGAGTGTGCTGGCTGAGCATGGCAGCCCTCTTGTGTTCCAGCAGTAGAGGCAGACAGGGTCCCTGTGGCTAGCTGACTGGCAAGACTAGCTGTATCATCAAGTTCTGGGTTCAGTCAAGACTCTGCCTCAGTGGTGAGGTGGAAAGCAATCAAGGACGATTCCTGATGTAGACTTCAAACCTCCATATATATGTGCTTCCACACACATGGGCCCACATACGAGCAAACATGCATTTCATAAACACACCACACTGACCCAGACAGAAAGTGAGCATATGTAAAGTTTCTTCATTGTGGCCCCAGTGATTAGGAAATTTCTTCAGTGGTCTTTTGGAGGAGTAGGTGGGATATGGACCTATGAAGGAGGAAATAAAGCATGCTTGAGAGAAGAAAGGCAGAGTCAAGAGTAGGAGGTGGGGATGGACAGAGTATGTTCATCACCATGGAGATAGGATGGAGAAGCCAAGCGTTGGGAGTGGTGAGAGGCACACAGTGTTTCCTCAGCTCTGAGGATGGACCATGCTGCTTCATTTCAGCCAGCACTGAAAAGCTCCGCCATGTGCTCCGTCCAGACCAGCACCGTGTCACCTACTGAGGAAACAGGGCATCTCTTAGGTTCAGATGTGTGTAGTAGGTCAGAAGTATGTGGAGAGAGAAACTGGCTGGAGCCAGATTTCATCTTTGACGATAACAGAATCCACAGTAAACATTTTTTCACTTTGGAGTCTCTCGTGAGCTTTGTGTGTAATAGTTTAACAGTTACTTACTTACATGCTAAAAGGATTCCAAGCGGGTTCAATGTTTTAGGAATAAAGACAGGCAAACACAGTTTCCTGTTGCAGAAATGGCAGATACAGAGGCAGAAGTAGCTGCAGGGATGGGTTCTGCATTAGGTTAATCTGCCTTGAAGCCCTTTAAGTGATTTTTAACTTCTAGGCTCTGATCTGGGCAGCTGACTACAGGCATCAGGATTGTGTGGAGGAAGGGCCTTCTTCAGAACATCAGCCTGGGGCCATCCCCCAAGGCTGGGTGTTTCTGGGAATACTCCAGTTGACTTTCGAAAACCTCTTCTATTTGTTAAGTTGATTTTCTCACCTCATTAAATGAAGTTATCCCTCTCAGTGTCTTTCCATTTATAAAGGGAAGAGGGTCGGGCACTGCAAGTGATCAGATGGTCAGTGTTTGTGACCTAGAGAGTTGTGTTTGCTAAGCTGCTCGGGTGTCTCAGAACAGCCCTGTGCTCTTCCAACTCAATGCCAGTGAGCTGAGCTGTGTCAATGGTGCTTTGTTCTCTTGGTAGGCAAGGAGGGCACCATGAGCTGGCTGAGCGCCTCGTGGAAATACAGTACGAGCTGACTGACAGACTGGCCTTCTACCTCTGCGGCAGGAAACCAGGTGAGGGAGAGGAGGACAGCCTTGCTGCACCTCTATTCTGGAAAAACAGGTCAGGACAACATTTTTATGACTTGCTCTGGAGCTAGTTCCAGGACAGGCCCCAAAGCTACAGAGAAACCCTGTCTCGAAAACAAACCAAAAAAAAAAGTCCTCAGGAAGATTGCCATAAGAGTTTTCTATTTGAGAGGATAACAACTATCATCTTCCCCTTTCCTTTCTTCCCTCCAGGTCCTCCCATGTATCCCCCCACCTTGCTCTTCTTTGAATTCATGGCCTTTTTTTTCTTTAATTGTGTTGCATGCATGTGTGTGTGTGTGTGTGTGTGTGTGTGTACATATATCTGTATATTCCTAAGTACATGGCCATAAACTTCCCAGTTTGTATTATGTTACTTGTATGTGTATTTTCCTGGTTGGCCATTTAGCATTGGTTATCATTGGCGTGCTTTCGTGAGGAAGACTGTTTCTTCTGCTCTCAGCAGTCTAGTTTCTTATCATTCTCTGAGGAGGACTGAGCCTCCTAAGCTTTCTCTTCCATCTTAGCATGTTTGTTTGTGCCGTCCTTGTTGGGTCACATTCAGGCAGCCGTGTTGGTGAGACTATGGGTGTAACCTCTGACATTTCTAGGAGACAGTCTCACAGCAAACTCCTAGATCCTCTGATTCTGACCACTTTTCTTCTCCCTCTTCCATAATGATCCCTCAGCCTTAGGCGCAAAAGTTGTGATGTAGAGTATCTGTTGGGACTGGGCTCTGCAACTGTGTTTGTGATTGATTGTGTTTTTCTACAGTGGTCTCTATTTGTTTTAGAGAGAAGTTTCCTTGAGGGATGAGGACTACACTTATCTGTGGGTACAAGGACAAATATTGAGAACATAGTTAGGGTTTCTGCTGGTTTAGTAAAGTGATGGCTGTAGGTTCTACAAGATCCATGACTTCACTAGCTCTGGGTAGGTGATGAAGTTTTCCCTCTTGTTGAGAAGTCCAGCTAGAGAACTGTTGGTTACTACCAGGGTATGCCTGCCACTTCTGCACCCTTAGGGTTATTGTGCTATACTGATAGTTGTGGTTCATAGGCATCATAGCTGGGTAGGCCTGTTGGTTGTTTTCCTCCTTTGGAAGTCTGTTTAGCGGTCTCGATCCTTTGCCCCTGCCTCCTGAATGCTAGGATTACAGGTGTGTACCACCATTCCTACTGCCTCCCAAGTGCTGAGATTAAAGGCGTGCACCCCTACTGCCTGGCTGGATTGCTTTTCTTTGCTGCCTGCTCAGCAGGCAGAGCCCAACCTACTCTGTTGCCTGGTAAAACAGAAATAACACTTTCCATAGACTACAAAGAAGGCCCAGAGTCTTATAATACAGTGTTTAGAATATCCTTGCTTCCACATAGTGAGTCTGTATATGAAGAGCCAGGAAAACCTCAGGGGACACAAGGAGAAAGCAGTCAACAGATGCTAGGCCTAGGGGCAACTGGTGGCCAGCAGGTAAAGTGGATGAGCTGCCCAGTGACCTGAGTGACCCTGTAACTCACATGCCACAGAAGGAGAGAATCAGCTCCCACGAGATGTCCTGTTGGAATTCTCAGAAACATTTTAAAGCTGCCAATAAGACTATGCTCTGAAAAGCAGTGGACATTTTTAAAGACACACACACAGAGAAGAACCTAGAAGGAATATTAGAATTGAAAATTATAGTGACTAAAAATTTCGAATCCAGATGAGTAGGTTTAATAGCAGGCTGAAAATACTAGAAAAACTATATTAAAAATAGCTAGGTAGTGATGTAGCTCAGTCGTAAAGGGGTTACCTGGCATGCCAAAGGCTCTGGGCTCACTTCCCAGTACAAGAAAAGGAGAACCAACAGCAGCCTGCCTCAGGGACCTGTGGGGAATACCAGAAGAATGGAGGTGGGGCACTACATTGATACAGCGCATTCTTTGCAAGCATCAAGACCTGTGCTTGGTCCTAGGAGGTATATAAAGCCAGGCGTGTGGTATGTGACTATAAGGCCCACCACTGGGCAAGCAGAGGAAGTAGGATCATGGGGGCAAGCAGAGGAAGTAGGATCATGGGGGCTTGCTGGTCAGCTGGTCTGACAAGTCAATGAGTTCCAGGTTTTAGTAAGAGACCCTATCTCAAAAAATAAGGGTGGTGTAGTCATATACATGTATGTATATACATAAGCATGTATGCATGTAAGATAATGATAAAGAGTCCTTGAATTTGAAAGAGCAGGGAGGGCTGTATGAAAGGGCTTAGAGGGAAGACAGGGAAGGGTAAATGATGGAATTATAATCTTAAAAATAAATAATTTTTAAAAGGGGTAGAAGTGGGGTTTTATACCTTTAAATCTCATCACTTGGAGACAGAGGCAGGCAGATCTCTGAGTTCAAGGCCAGCCTGGTGTACAGAGTGAAGTCAGGCCAGCCAGGGTAGAGGAGCTAGAGAGATGGCTCCGAAGTTAGGAGCGCTGGATACTCTTGCAGAAGATCTGGATTTGCTTCCTAGTACCCACATGGTGACTGACAACCACCTGTAACTCAGGTTCTAGGAGTACAAAGCACTCTTCTGCCCTCTGCAGGCAAATTGGGACATGTATATACATGCAGGCAAAACACACAGGTACATATAATAGAATAAATATTAAAGAAATAAGAATAATAGGTTAGAAAGGTAATTGAAGAAGACACATTATGTCAGCCTCTGGACTCTACATGTAGGTGCCGGAAATACTACCAAAATCTAAGTCTGAAAAGATGTAGAGATTCCTGAGACTCATGCCGGGCAGTGGTGCACGCCTTTAATTTCAGAACTCAGGAGGCAGAGCAGGTGGGTCTCTGAGTTTGAAGCTAGCCTGATCTACAAAGCAAGTTTCAGTACAATCTGGGCTGTTACACAGAGAAACCCTGTCTTAAAAGACCAAAAAAAAAAAAAAAAAAAAAAAAGATTCCTGAAACTCCAACTTCAAAGAAGGTGAATGCAAAAGAAACCTGGGAAAAAGTACTTCAAAAACATCCAGAACAGTATTTCACACAGCAAAGTTGAATATCCTTTACCTGAAATGCCTAGTACCAGAAATGTTATAGGTTTTAGATTTTTCTTAAAAATCTATTTTGGAATATTTTACTATAGATTTCTGATGCAGAAATCTGAAGTGCCAAACTTTCTGAGCATCCTATTGCCCTGATGCTTCTCAGAAGTCATGGAGATGAAAGGAAATTAAACGCTATTGTTAAAGTGACAAAAGAAAAGAGTTGCCTGCCTGTGGTCCCATAGGTAGTAAAGCCTTACCTTTCGCATGAAGACAAGTTAAACATATTGCAAGATGAAGAAAAGTCAGATACTCCATTTCTCTAACAGCGGCGCTGGAGAAGGGTCTTCAGGCCATCAGCCTGAGTGTCAGGATAAGGAGTGCATCAGGAAGTGCACGATAGCAGAGGAACCTGGCTGCAGACGTGCGTGGCAGCTGACAATAATGATTCTAGCATGCAGTGTACATCACGCTGTGTGTGTGTATTGGGCAGTCGCCGCAAGAATGAGAAAGGGTGAAAGAAATACAGTAGCATTCCTACATTTTGCCTGAAGTGGGAAAGTAACATTTCTAAGTACATTGAGAAGTATGGGTAGTATAATCCTTAGCACTGCCACACCAAGAAAAAGACAAAGTGGTAGAGCTGGAGAGATGGCTCAGAGGTTAAGAACATTGACTGTTCTTCCAAAAGACCCAGGTTCAATTCCCAGCACCCACAGTTGACTTGCAACCATCTGTAACTCCAGTTGCATGGGATCCATTGCCCTCTTCTGACCTTTGCAGGTGGTGCTCACACATGGTACAACAGAGATACATGCCAGCAAAACACTCGTGTATAAAATAAAAATAAATAAATCTTTTTAAAAGATCCTAGAGATAAATTTAAAAAAATATCAAACAGTACTCAAATAATTGAAAGATCTTTATTGAAAATATTCAAAAAAAAGAAAAGAAAAATGGGGGGGACGAAGCTCAGAAAGAGAATAAGTAATAAAATGACATAAACCTGGACACAACCCTCCTGTCAGTGACCAACAGAGCATTTGAAAGCAGTGGTGTCAGGAAAGAGTTACAGAATGAAAGCTGAGCTGACACTGTATACAAGAAACCAGTTCAGTACCAGGACTAGGTCAACACGAGAACAGCTGTCCACGCAGACTGGAGCTGTGCTGACGTCAGGCTGTCTGTGGACTTCCCACCCTGAGTGAAGCAGATGTGATCTGAGTGGGTCAGAGTAGACCTCAGAACAAAGAAAAATAGCAAAGATCGAGGGGACATGAGACAATGACAGAAGGACACACTTATGCCAAGAAGATGCAGCGCTCCAAGTCACATACGTGTTAATAGAATCGAGAGAGCGCCTCAGTTGGGGACTTAGCAGGCAGAGGCTCTGGACAGCATGAGTTCAAGCCCCAAGACCCACCTGGCAGAAGGAGAGAACTAATCCCTAGAAATTGTCCTCTGACTTTCACATGCATGTCCACGTGTACAATGCATGCAGAGTATTGAACTGGTGGACCTGAGAGGAAAGTTCTTACTGCAGACTCCACATACTGCTTTTGAAGTTGTGTATATGGAGTTGGATAGTTGTTTTAAAACAGTAGCATGCTGTACCCCAGGTTAATCTCACACTCACCACAGTCCTGTCCCAAGTGCTGGAATCACAGGTGTGTACTGCCATGCCTGACTCAAAAGTACTTCCAACTAAATAAAAATAAAAATACAGTGTCAAAATTTGTACAATTGGATGGGCCTGGTGGTGCATGCTGTTAATCCCTGCATGTGGGGCCCCTGTAAATCCAAAGCCAGCCAGAACTGCATAGTAAGACCCTGTCTCACAATTAGAAAGCGAGGGGGTAGGGGGTGAGAAGATGTTCATGGGTATATTTAAACAGTGTTTATAGGAGGATTTATTGCATTAAATACTTGGATTTGAGAAGGTAGCTCTAAACTTAGTCTTCTCACATAGGAG